AACTATGTGCAAGGATTTTACACCCGGACACCATATTGTAGGACCTCCGACAACTACCCAGCCCCTAGGACAATGACAAGTACCCAATAATCCCCGGAAGACCCCCCCCCCCCCCCCCACCACCCCTCCACACACACACACACACACACACACACCTACGCAACGCTACTACATGTAGGAAAATGCATGATGTACACCATATTTCATACAATGACGTCTGATTACTCATAACTTAGTTAAGATCCTGCGGCATGGTAAACAATATTACTATAATCGAAGCAATACATACACAGTACCGTTTTCCATCGCTTCGTGTGTGTATGTACACGCCGTCTTGAGTTGACCTGAAAGCGTGTGATGGCAGCACAGAGAAGAAGATCCCAAAGAGCATGGGAGCAAGCACGCATCTATGGCGCGCCATATGCCCAATAACCCCGAAAAACATTGTTTTTCGACGAAAAACAAGGTTTATCGAGCGATAAACCTTGTTTATCGTGAGAAACTCTGTATATCGACTAAACACAGTTTCCCTCGATAAACAAGGTTTATCGATAAACAAGGTTTATCGAAAAACACGGTTATTCGTATTTCGTCAGGAGTGGGCGCTTTTTAAAGTTGCACCCAGCTCAGAGCACTGCTCCGCACGTGCGCTTTACACCGTAGAATATACCAACACCGTAACACTTGCTCGCGCTCATGACCACGATCGACATTTTCTGAGTGGAGGTATGGCGAAGTATTCTTAATTCCAGGCTTTTTTCCCAATTTTTGAAATGTTATGTTTATATATCTCTCTCTAGCCCTCTCTCTCTTTCAAACTTTCTAGGTTTTCCCCTTCTCTTATCTCTCTCACTCTCCCCCTTTCTTTCTCTCACTCTCTCTTTCTCCTACCCTCTCAATATAACCCTTCTGTCTTTCCCTCTCTTTCTTCTAATTCTCTCTTTCCCTTTCTCTTTCCTTTTTCTTTCTCTGCACTCCCTCTCTGCCTCCTCCCTTTTATCTATTTTCCCCGGTATGAGAAATAGGGTAGAGATAGATGGTTGGAGAGAGAGGAGAGATAAATGAGAGACAGAGGAGAGATAGAGCAGGGGAAAAGGAGAGATAGAGGAGAGATAGAGCAGGGGAAAAGAAGAGATAGAGCGGGGATAGATGGATGGATATAGATGGAGAGAGAGAGAGAGAGAGGAGAGATAAATGAGAGACAGAGGAGAGATAGAGCAGGGGAAAAGGAGAGATAGAGGAGAGATAGAGCAGGGGAAAAGAAGAGATAGAGCGGGGATAGATGGATGGATATAGATGGAGAGAGAGAGAGAGAGGAGAGATAGAGCAGAGATAGAGCAGAGATATCGATCTATCCCCGCTCTATCTCTCCTCTATCTGTCCTTTATATATATCAGAGGCGGCGGACCCGGGGAGGGGGGGGGGGGGGGGGGGGGGCAGGGGGGCACCCCCACTTTTTCAAGCACCCAAAAATTGCCCCTTTTTCCATTGGAAAAGTGCCCCATTAACTTTGTAAGAAGCGCCCCTTTTTACATAAAAAGTGACCCTATTACTTTGATATGTGCCCCTGTTAATTTTTAAAAGTGCCCCCTCTCCTTTCCACCTCTGATATGTGCCCCTTTTATTTTGACACGTACCCCCTTTTCCAGACAAGTCCTCAGTTTCCTTTGCAATAAGTGTCTATTTTCCATTCTCATAAGTGCCCTTTTTAATCTCTAGTAAGTGCCTCTTTTCGGATACGAGAAGCGCCTCTTTTCACTTTTGTCAAGCGCCTCCTTCCCCTCTGATAATTGCCCTATTCAAATCTTAGAGGTGCCCCTTTTACTTTGACAATTGCCCCTTTTCCTTTGTAAGAAGTGCCCCTTTCCCTTTAAATAACTACCTCTTTTTAACTCGGATAAGCGCACCTTATTTTTTCACATGTGCCCCCTTTCCTTTCTAATAAGTGCCCCTTTTCCTTATGACAAGTGCCCCCATTTAACAAAGAGCCCTTCGCCTTTTCATAAATGCCCATTTTTACCTATGAAAATAGTCCTTTTTGATTCTCCTACTAGTGGTCCTTTTTATGTCTGGTAAATGACCCTATTCAATTCTGAGAGACAATCGTTTTATTTTGACAAGTGCCCCCTTTTCCTCTCTAATAACATCCCCTTTTATTTTGACACGTGCCCCTTTTCCTTCCTAATAAATGCTCTTTTTCCTTCATAATTTCCGCTTTTCATAAAAGCCCCCTTTCACCTCCAATAAATGCCCCTATCAAAATCTGATCGGTGCTCCTTTTCTTTCAACAAATGCACATTTCCCTTTATTATTAGTGCCCCTTTTTCATTCTCATAAGTGACTCTTGGTGTTTGCCCCTTTTTAGGTGCTATAAGTGCCCCTTTTCACCTCTGATAATTAACCTTTTTTAACAATGATACGTGCTCCTTTTCCTTTCTTATGAGGAACCGACCCCTTTTTCATAAATGCTACTATCACAATCTGATGGTTGCCTCTTTTCCGTCGACAAATGCCCAATTTACATTCTCATAAGTGCCTTTTCATCCCTGGTGCGTGCCCCATTTTCACCTCTGATAATAACCCTTTGTACTTTGACACGTGCTCCTTTTATTTTCTAATAAGTGTCTTATCCCTTAGATAAGTGTCCCCCTTTCCTCTCATCATTAAAGGTGCCCCAAATTTCAAGCGACTAAGAGCAATATCTCCCAAAGTTCGCTCGCTACGCTCGCTCAAATTTATAGAAGTTATAATTATGTTACTTATCAAAGGTCTTTTCAGTTTGCTGTTATGGAAATGTTCTTAATTATAACCCGATGAGGATTGGTTTTTTCCTCTTTATAAGATGTAGTTTTCGCACTGTGACCTCACAAATCTTATATTTTTCCTCGCTCGCAAATGATTTTTTCGACCATCACACCCAACTGCAAGGTATGATGCTTTAAAAAGCAATATTTTATATAATGTATAAAGAGAAACAAATATTGAAATCATCCCTGATAATGTAATCAAATTTTAGGGGTATATACCAATGTCTAAAAATTGTTTATTTTCGCTTTGAGATTTCCCTTTGTAGGTGCCCTTTTTCCCAGAAAGTGCCCTTTTTTTGTTGGTGCCCCCCCCCCCCCACTTTGGAAGTCGCTCCGCCGCCTCTGATATATATATATATATATATATCTATTTATATCCATCCATCTATCCCTGCTCTATCTCTCCTCTATCTCCTCCATCTCTCATTTATATCTCCTCTCTCTCCATCCATCTATCTCTACCCTATATCTCCTCTATCTCTATCTCTCTCTCTCCATCCATCTATCCCTGCTCTATCTTTCCTCTATCTTCTCGCTATCTCTCATTCATCTCTCCTCTCTCTCCATCAATCTATCTCTTCCCTTTCTCTCCTTTATCTCTCCTCTAATATTCACCATCCATCTTTCCCTGCTCTATCTGTTCTCTCTCTCTCTCTTCATCTATCTCTATCCATCTTTCACCCGCTCGATCTCTCCTCTATCCCTGCTCTATCTCTCCTCTATCTCTCATTCATCTCTCCTCTATCTCCATCTATCCATCTTTAAAATATCTCTCCTCTATCTCTCCCTCTTTCTCTCTCCATCTATATCCATCCATCTATCCCAGCTCTATCTCTCCTTTTCCCCTGCTCTATCTCTCCTCTATCTCTCATTTATCTCTCCTCTCTCTCCAACCATCTATCTCTTCCCTATTTCTCATACCGGGGGAAATAGATAAAAGGGAGGAGGCAGAGAGGGAGTGCGGAGAAAGAAAAAGGAAAAAGAAAGGGAAAGAGAGAATTAGATGAAAGAGAGGGAAAGACAGAAGGGTTATATTGAGAGGGTAGGAGAAAGAGAGAGTGAGAGAAAGAAAGGGGGAGAGTGAGAGAGATAAGAGAAGGGGAAAACCTAGAAAGTTTGAAAGAGAGAGAGGGCTAGAGAGAGATATATAAACATAACATTTCAAAAATTGGGAAAAAAGCCTGGAATTAAGAATACTTCGCCCTACCTCCACTCAGAAAATGTCGATCGTGGTCATGAGCGCGAGCAAGTGTTACGGTTTTGGTATATTCTACGGTGTAAAGCGCACGTGCGGAGCAGTGCTCTAAGCTGGGTGCAACTTCAAAAAGCGCCCACTCCTGACGAAATACGAATAACCGTGTTTTCCGATAAACCTTGTTTTTCGATAAACCTTGTTTATCGATAAACCTTGATTATCGAGGGAAACTGTGTTTATCAGTCGATATACAGAGTTCCTCACGATAAGCAAGGTTTATCGCTCGATAAACCTTTGTTTATCGGCGATAAACAATGTTTTTCGGGGTTATTGGGCATATGGCGCGCCATAAGCATCCCTGCTTCACTCCGTTCTTGATTGGGAAGGGGGCCAATGTAGAGTCGTCATACTGGATGGTGCCCTGCATATCGTCATGGAAGGATACAATCAACCTTAGCAGTGTAGGTGGACATCCTATCTTCTGTAGCAGATTGAAGAGGATCTTTCTGCTGACTAGGTCAAAGGCCTTTGTAAGATCGATGAAGGCAATGTACAGTGGCTGTCTCTGCTCCCGGCTTTTCTCCTGCAGTTGTCGAATGGAGAATATCATATCGATTGTTGATCTTCCAGCCCGAAAACCACACTGCGATTCTGGGTACACACGGGCTGCAAGCGTTTGCAGTCTGCTCAGGATCACACGGACAAACGTCTTCCCAACAGTGCTAAGGAGGGATATTCCACGATAGTTGTTGCACTCACTGCGATCCCCTTTAATAATAATAATAATAACAATATTTATAAAGCGCAACATATCCATCTCTAGAGATGCTCAAGGCGCATACAAATAATTTAAATTAATATTTAACATACTTAAGATTAAAGAAATATTAAATGTTAACTTGCATTAGATCATACAACTTCATGGTGCCAAGGTACATACAATGTGGCACAGTGCGATTGTTTGTTTTTCATGCATTGTATAAAAAGAACATTGAAATTTAACAATATGCATTGAGCATCAGGTGAGTTTTAAGCCCAGTTTTGAAAGTAGAGAGAGTGTCTTTGTTCTTGTACAAGGTAATGATGTTAGCATCAGGCATATCATGTGGAATCGTTCCCTCTTTCCAGCATTGGCAGAGAAGCTCATAGAGATGGCGTAGAAGAGATGTGTCCTTTCCGACTTTGATTATGTCTGAGGGTATGCCATCTTTTCCTGGGGCCTTACCCGAAGAAAGGGAGTTCACAACCTTTTTCAGCTCTTCTGAGGGTTCACTATCAAGATCTTCCATGACAGGTAAGCTTTCAATACTCTCAATGGTAGCTTCATTGACCTCAATCTCCCGTGAGTACAGCTCTTGATAGTGCTCAATCCATCTTCCCATTTGAAGCTTTTTGTCTGTGATAACCTCCCCTGTGGATCCTTTGAGTTGTAATGTCTTCTTGATGGTTGGTCCAAAGACCTTTTTTATGCCTGCGTACATACCCCGGGTGTTCCCGTTATCTGCAGCCAGTTGGATGCTCTGACAAAGGCTCAACCAGTAATTGTTGGCACAGCGTCTAGCAACCCGTTGGACATCTCTCCTTGCTGTTCGTAGAGCTGTGAGTGTCTTCACAGATGGATCACTCTTGTAGTTAGCGAGTGCTGCTCGCTTTGCTTCGATGACAGGCTCCAATTCTGCGATTCCAGCTACAAACCAGTCTGGGTTTTGCTTTTCTCTTTTGCCATATATTTCCATGGCTGAGTGATGGATAGCATCGCGAATGTGATTCCATCTCTCTTCAGCACTAGTAGATGGACAGTCCTGGAGGGCCTGTTCGATGGAATCGGCGAAGAGATCATGCAAGTCAGGATTCGATATCTTGGCAGTGTTTATGCGGGGGCGACCTTTCTGCTTTGAGCGATGTATTCGCCTGGGCTGAAGGCGCACCCTGCTGGCAATCAGTGAATGATCTGTGCCACAATCAGCGCTGTGGTAACTACGAGTGACTTGGACGCTGTTTAAGGATGAAGTTTGTGTAATAACAAGGTCAAGCTGGTGCCAGTGATGAGATCTGGGATGTCTCCAGGATACCTTGTGGCATGGTTTTGTGAAGAAGAACGTGTTCGTAATGCATAGGTCGTGATAGGTGCAGACTTCTAGCAATCTTTGAACATTCTCGTTCAGTTTTCCAATGCCGAAGCGTCCGATGCATTTGGGCCAGGAGTCATGATCCGTGCCCAGGATGTTCACTGGACCTGAGTCTTTTTGCAGTCGAAGTGAGAGGATGCGTTCTGTGCCTCTGCTTGGTGGTTCAATTGAGGAGAGTAAGGAGTTCCTTACTGCAAATCCAACACCATGCTGTTGCCTTTCCTGTGGTTCTCTGCCCTGCCAAAATATAGTGTAGTCTTCCTCTCTGATACTGCCATCTGAAGAGAGTCTTGTCTCTTTCAGAGCAGCAATGTCAATGTTGAGCCTCTTTAGCTCACGGTCGATGATTGCTGTTTTGCGGGTGTCATCAACCTCAAGTAGATTGTCTGTGATGCCAGGACACATGGTCCTAACGTTCCAGCTTGCCAAACGCAAAACTGGTTTTTTCTTTGTATTTCGTTTATTGCTTGGTGCAGTAGTTTCAGTCCGCTTGTCGAGAAAATCCTCTAAGCTCCAAACACCCGATGAAGCAGGCGGCCTGTGGCGGGTCAGCACCTAATTAACTGGGAGCTGCCAGCTTGAGGTGGGCGGTAGCTGACCAGTGGAACGCGAAGATCCCTCCCACCGTCGAAGGCAACCCGTAGCGCCCGTATCCTACGCCAATCGGAAAGGGCTTATAACTCGTAACTGCTGCCTCCCGTGTTGTTTCTGCCACTTTTGACAGTAGCACTGAAGTGTCCTCTCCAGAGAGCAAGTCTGGGCTGGTTATAATTATGGAGATCCTGGGTAGCCCAATCGTCAGAATCCCCCTCTCGGCCTTACTTATGTAGTCCAAAGGAGAGCTGAGCAATACATTTGGCACCAATTTGGCTGCAGGAGTTGCCGGAAGAGTGTGTCGAGTTGAACACCAGACCGCCTGCGGGGCTCCACTCCGGTTTTCAGTCAGGTTTACTCCCTAGCTATTTCTCCATAGCAGGATGTCCGTTACCCTGGACAGGGGCCATACCGGGTACTGTCAGCCGGAGCCAACTGAGCCCGGGACTCGTGTCAGGCAGGGTCGTCACGCCCTGAAGTAGTGAACAAAGTCACTACCCACTATCAAACCTTGTACCAGATGAAAAATAAACTGACCAATCTTGTTACGACTAGTGGAACGATATAACCCTTTAAAAAAGCCATTATACCTTGCATACGTCTAGTAAACAGCTCTTTCATGGTATGACATTCTTGCAGTTGTGCAGATAGTACGTCTATTTATAACTCGTTAAAGGTGAATTACAGGGCTACAATAAGATTCATAAACCTAGAGTTACCTGAACTGAATATGCAAGAAAGTAATAGCAACTGCATACAGCAACAGGGCTACAACAACTACAATCAGGCCAGTTTGCACTCCTGGACAATGAAAAAAAGAAAGTGTACATGTAACAACAGATTACCCCTTTTCTCAGGTTCTAACTTGATTCACAGGATAATGGTGCATATCTGCTTTTAACGTGATTAATGATACAATTTTCAGTCCGGTCTGATGTAAAAAAATAATCACAATGTAAAGCCCTGAAAAGGTACTGTTATACCAAAGTTACTATTTTTATTTTCATAAGAGATAATGGAAATACTATTGAAGACTCATTTAATACTTATTTTAATTAAAGAAGGTGAGAATAATGTAGGGCAGTTCGATGTGGTGAATCTCTATACCGCTCCCATGACCACGCCCCAACGCACACACACACACAAACGCACACATTTCATCAAAATATGAATAGCTTGCTTTAACCACTGAATATCTGTAATATACCAGTGCCACTACCATCAGTCATAGTCTTATAAAGAGACTTTTCATTCATGGATCTATATCATACGGGACACATTATACGAAATAAGACCCATAGGGCAAACCTGAGCAAACACACCCACTTAGAAGGATAATGGAGCTTTTATAGCTCGTATTTTGCTTTTCAGCGATAACATGGCGAAAATCTTGCCTTTCTTTCCCATGTGCCCAATTTTTTAAGTTGACCACTATACCGTAACTTAACAGGGGGCGAAATCTTTGTTGGCTATAGCCCTTGAGACAGAGAGTACATGAAAGTAAAAGCAACTGTATACGGCAATAGGGCTACAGCAACTCAACAACAAACAAGTTTTATACAAGAAAAAGACCACACAAAAAAAACTTATATGTAACAACGGATTACGCTTTTCCTCAAGTTCTACTTTATTTCACAGGAGAATGGAATATTTCTGATTTTAACGGAATTAATGACACTATTACATAAAAGGTCTGGGCCCCGTCTTACATGCATTCAATGTGAGATGTACTGAAATTTAAGCAATAGTCTGCCTTTTCGGTCTTGCGGGCCTTTGATCAACGATTTTTTTCTTTGGAGGGTTCACTACATGAACAGCCAACGAAACTGACACCCTTTGAGACCTACAATTTCGGTCTTGCGGGCCTTTGGACAATATTTTTGAGGGTTCAGCCCATGAAATTGACAGCCAACTAAACCGACAATGTCGGTCTCGTGGGCCTTATAGCTACTTTTCAGAAGGTTTACTAGACCGATGGTTCCCGAGACCGACATTTCGATAATTTTCTTTATGTTTTTTTTCCTTTTGTCGGTCTGTTAGCCCTGAGGGCTGTAGGTCTACTGGGATGACCCTTCTTTGTAATAAATGTTGTTTCCAGGCCCCCCAAGCTCCGCCATTTTTTTCGGATCCATTAGAAGCCAAAATAAGCCCCCTTGCATAATTCATGAGCCCTATGAATTATGCATTCTGAAGGATGCTCCCCACGAAACGTGTACTGGAATGATGTTCACTACATGGTAAAAGACAATACGCGTATCAGCGTAATTAGAGAGGTCAAATAATCTACTGTACGGAATTATGGGTAATTTATTCATCACGCTGCGCAAGTGATTCAGCGAATCAGCGTAGATTATTCTGATGCGATCACCGTTAGGTGAAATACGCACTCGAACTTGTATTATCGATCACCAGTATAACAGCTGGTGTACCCAGAATGCATCGGGAAGTGGACCTCTCGTTGTTGTGTTGTTGATGTTTTTTTAATATGGGGGAGTGGCCTTAACTTCATTGAATAAGAAATACTGATCCGATCTTATTCCCTTTTTAGTCTATCAATAACTGGGTCTGTTTTTGTTTTATTAACTCAAACATGCTATAAGCCATTTATTCACGGCTAACAAAAATAACAAACAACCAAATTTGCGTTTATGTCGTGGCTTTATTAACATTTTGAGATGGACGCTTATTTTGCACATTTTGATTTTCTGGGTGTCATAACAAAATAACACAGATATATTGAATCATAAAAAATGCTTACAAATGCAATGCTAGGCCCCCCGCCTATGAAATCGAGTGATGCCTAGGCTAAACTTATATACATTAAGTCATTATATCAGCCCCCCGCCTATAAAATCGAGTGATGCCTAAAGTTATGCTAGGCCCCCCGCCTATGAAATCGAGTGATGCCTAGGCTAAACTTATATACATTAAGTCATTATATCAGCCCCCCGCCTATAAAATCGAGTGATGCCTAAAGTTATAGAATATAGATGTATATATATACCAGCCTCTCCGCCTGTAAGATCGGATGATGCCTAAGATTAAAGCGTGACACCCTGAGTTTGAAAATGTGTAGGTACAACTAGGTCCCCCCGCATTCAAATCGAATGGGGGCCGGAAAACTAAGAATTGACATGCGAACAAATTCGACTGAATATACATTGGCAACCCCCTCGCATGTAAAAATTGAGTGGGGTCGAAAATTATCGGATGACAATTATTGATCAATAAACTTATCAGTACCATGTGATTAGTGATTTGGAGGCATAATTTGACAAATTTACCGCCAAACGAGAATATATTTATATATGATCGGCCGCCAAATCACAACGTTGTCATCACTAACGATTTCTGTGCACTAAGGGAATATCTATGCTTAACTATTTACACTTTGGTGGAATTAACATTTCAATTGGCCAAATTAACCAATGTACATGTACAGGCATGTACTTTTTCGCCCTTAGCTAATTTATAACCCTCTAACAGACTACAGAGTATCGTAATAAACTTATCTCTACAACACCGGCACATCATTATGCCTAATTCATTCCCCTCAAAGAAGTGACTAAACCGTTAATGCCCATTTCGAAATGAAGCATTCGCAAAACTGGTCATTTACCAATGTCCACCTAAACCTGCCCCATATAACCATTATTTACTCTCCACAACTTTGTTACTCCCAAAATAAGGCACTCTTATCCCAACAACAAAACCATGATCTTGCGGTTCCGGACTCAAACTTTTTTTGCGGGATTTACTTTGCTACCCGAACAGACTTAAACATTGAAATATAAGAACGCTGAAATATAAGAACACTGAACTATAAGAACATTGAAATATAAGAACAAACAACGTGTTTTGTAACATTATCATTGTTTAACTACTTGGATGAACCGAGATAGGACAGGCCCTCCTTCAGGTCAGTGATAAACCTGTCCAAACCCTCATTGGAGAGATGCAATCCGTCCGGCCTATATAAAGCCCTATCCTTCCCAATAAACAAAATCACGTGAAAATAACGTCAATATCAAGGTATCGACTTAAGGAGAGTTACGTTCTTCAAACACCGGACATTTACGTAAATGTGTTAATACGTTTATTGCACTAGGTCACTAAAAACACACGTACACTAAATCACGCAATTGTCACTGCAATATCACCATTATAATAACGTGATTATCCCTACCTTGGAGACCATGGTTTGTAAACTTAATACTCCCGTGTTTGTTTGGTTATGAAATTACATCTTCATAAACGAAATTATCGCGTCACAGAAACACGTGAAGCGTTAGTGATAGTTTAAGTCAATATATCTGCGTGAAATTCACGTGAATATTACGAGGCTGACTTGAGATGAATCATGTACTTCATTCACGTAAAATTTACGTCGAAGAGGAAATATGTTACTGTAACCCGCGTTCTACCCAATAATTACGCAAATGTTACACATTAAATGAACCAAAATAATGACCTTCTCATCCCGTTTCTAAACATCGTGTTTTGGATCTTTCATAATTACGTCCAGGCGCGCCGGAAGCAGTTTGGGATTAGAGGGGGTGGGGGTGGGGTGGGTGCAAAAATCCCAGAAGAGAAAGCTAGTTGCAACTGGTCCAATTAATGAACCAGTGTATGCCAAATGGTAACACCGGAAATTGAAATGGGCTAAATAATGATCCAGTTGATCCAGGCCTATAGAATTCAACTTGTCTAGCTGAGCCATTAGAACCATATGGTTACACTTCCAACCAGTTGAACGGCAACAACACTTCAATACTGGTACGTCTGTATTTCCAATGTAAAGGCATTGGTAA